CTGCAAATAAAGATGGTGGTGGTGGTTGTGGTAGTGGGGGATTGTATTATTTAAATAAATACCAACTCTGTAGTTTTTGTCTTCTAAAAAGGATAACATTGTACGTCTTTCTGTTATCTTTTATCCATGTAATTCACGTGAATGAAATGTAGTTAATTGCGAATGCATGCAGAAGCAAGCGAACAAGCAAGCTAAAATGGATAATGCGTAGGAGGAGGAGGAGTATGGACCAAAGATTAATTTGTCAATTTCTGTATCCTCTTTTTTTTCAATTTTAGATTTTTGTTATATATATGTATATATATGCATAGTGAATGTGATTGTTTCATGTTCTTCGTTTGGTTTTTTACTATCCTTACTAATTATAGTTAATTATTGGATGATACTTGAGTATTTCAGTATGTACATAAATAATGATTTGGTCACCCTTTTAGTTACAGATGTCGTCGGTTACACTTCTAGTCTCTATTTTGAACATTCAGTAGATAGATGATCAGGAATTTACAAATAACTCTAATGGTATTCCATCGTAATTCAAATAAATATACTCGCCAGTAAATAAGTCGGTATGATAAAATATTTTCAGTATATTGGAGAATATTATTACTGTTACCAGCAAGAGAGCACATTGTTCACATATTTAGACTTCGACAGATTCTAAAACATAGGCATACTCACTGACGTTCAGCGATTTCTTGACCTGAAGGCGAAATTTCACTCTGTTGACCGAGATGTGCCAGGGAAGTATGTCACACTTACCAAGGTATTCCACTCGAACTCACGAGGCCGTGTAACAGTCTACGGAGTTGTGATGACAACCAGTAGTGCCCAGGTTTTGAATTGTTACCAGGGTATAATCGTTGTAATAATCTTTAACTTGTAATAAGCGAATGATATAATCCTCATAGGTGCTGATAAAATATAGTCTTCTGAAGACCTTGAGCAGCGATCTTCAAATTTTTGGCATTTGATTTGCTTCTATCAAATGTAAGATGATTTTACAGGACTGGACTACATTAACTCACTCGTAGCTTAAAAATGGAGAGCGAAATGGTAGAGCGCGTCGACCACTTCACTTATCTGGGAAATCGCAACGGACTGATCGCTGACGAAATCTTAGCACGGAGACAAAAGGCTCGTGTGGCACTTTCCAACTTATGTTATCTCTGACGTAGACGTGATATCCGACTGACCATTGATCAAAGGTAGTGTGTAATGAGAAGCAGTTCTCTTCATCCTCCTTTTTGGCTGTGAGACATAGCCATTGAGTGTTGAAGGCTTTGAAAAGACTAACTGTCTTGGATCATAGATGTTTATGTTTTATCTTCCGTGTTAGATGGTACGATAAGGTGAGTGATATTGAGGTCAGGCTTCGAGTACTAGAAAAGAGGGAGAGTCAATCGATGAGGTTGAGAAGTTACATCAATTGAGATGGTTAGGCCATATGTTACGCATGCCTACCCATCGTTTTCGTTGATGGGTAATGTTAGCTGACATAGGATTAGGTGGGTAAAGAGCTAGTAGTGGCCAAACCAAAACTTGGAATCAGTCCGTGAGAACGTTGACAGTTAGTTTGAACCAGCCACATTGGGAGGTGTAGACTTCTGTTTGGTTGGGGTCCTTGGGATTCTAAGAACCAATGGCTTGAAGCTGTTTGGTGACATGGCTCCAAAATCGTTCTCAATGGCGCAGATTCATTTACTCTTTGTAGTCTTTCATATCCACTAAGCCGTCGTGTCTTACGTGTTACTATTCTTTATCCCACAAATTTCTATTGATGACTGTTTTTCTCTTGCTTGTTCTTTTGTGTGTTACATGAAGTGTGACGACTCAAATTGCTATACTTCTGCGCAAGGTTTTATGTTAAAACTAGTCAGTGAGTCAGTCAGACATTATTACTACTATTATTATAGTCAATAGTATATCGATGAAATGATAAGTAATCAAAGTGAGATAGATATTTCATACACTGAGTCCCTTTTATAAATTTGAACAAAGAAAGAAGAAACATCGGTGCAGAATAATCTGGATTCAATTTATTTCGTTGGTTCTCATCAGCTGCGTACAACCGGAATTTTTCTTTTAATAAAAATAAGTGTACAATTTTAACAAACCTTTGTCCATTAACAAGCATACTTCCATTATGGGTAAATTTTGTTTTGATAAAGTCTCACAGTGTTATACAGTAATTTTACTGTAAATTTTACATTAAAATTACTGTATAACACTGTGAGACTTTATCAAAACAAAATTTACCCATAATGGAATTATACTCTACCACAGTGCACAAGTTTTATTTTTATATCAACAAGCATACTGTCAGAACGTCTTAGTAAAATTAGGCGTTGAGATTTACAGGGTGTCTAAAGTGTTATATATATATATATATATATATATATATATTGGTGGAGAGAAGTTTCTTGAAAACAATTTACTAACTATTGTTTTGTTGGGGTGGTAACAAAAGAAAATTAGCAATAGTTACGTAATTAGATAAGAGAAGATCAGAATTTTACAATTTCGGTGCACATGAGGTCAGATGAGAAGTTGACGATGTAATATAGTGAGCAGAACTCAGAAGATCAAGTAAAAAATTATCTCATAAGAGAGTCAAGCGATAAATAAAGGGAGGGGTGGAGTGAAAACATAAGCTAGCAAAAGTGACAAAATCAGAAAACAAAGAATTACTTAGAAGTGGGTCACCAGGGTAACTGAAGTCCAACAACGGATTCTATTTGGACACATAAATCAGGCTTCAATCGTTTTATTGCTATAGCTTCAGTGAACCTGAGAAAACTTGAGGTACTTTGTCTGTTAATTGTTTTGAATGATTCCAGCACATCTACTCAGTGTCCTTTGCCAATCAGGTGTTTGGCGATTGAAGAGCTTAATCGATTCGGTCCCTTTAACCGGAGGCTCCTTGGTATATATTTGCAGAATCTGACGTAGGCCCCCTCTCTGCTCCTCCAATGTAACTGCTCCCGCAGATACATGTGAATTGGTATACACAGTTGGAGGTAACATGTGAGGGGGGTACTTGTCAATCTTTGACTGCACCAATGAAGAAGTTGTTCGGGATAGAGAGACTAATAACGCTGCAGGATACATCCTAGACAGGGTTGCGCTTAATCTTTTATTAACCATTCTCATAATGTCGTCGCCCTTATAGTCAAGTTTGATGAAATAGGCTTCTTACTGACTGTTGCTGTATCAAGCTTCTTGAATTCATTCTTGCCATATTTGTTAATGAAACTTTGTGAGTAACCATTTTCTTTCAAGCATTTTTCAAGAAGCATAAGTTCACTATCTAGTTTGTTTGGTTTAACATATGCTCTTCGCTCTGGAGAAAAGCGTTTTCATCAGCGTTCGTTTGTATCTCACTGCGGAGAAGCTGTTCAAATTCAAGTAAAGACCATTCCATGTGTCTTTACGATATACAGATCTTTCGAGTGTCCCGTTGTATTTTCTCTCCAACTTTACGTCCAAAAAATAAAATTTTTCATCATTTTCATGCTTCATCGTGATAGATATATTTCCGTTTATACAGTAGATTAAAGGCAGACATCTTGTATCAATATGTCTTAATTTGTTTTCGATTAATACTTTTGATTTCTCCTTGATTTTGGTGAGAATGAATAGATTCGTATGCGGTGTGATGTGTGCTTTTAGGACAGTTGCTTGTAAATTGTTTTTGGTATCACTATATTGTTTACTTACATAGTCATAGTACTAGTGTGGTGAGAGCAGGCTGCTAGCCGATTGGTTGACACTAATCTACGTTAATGTCTAGGTCACTAATATGGGCCGTGAGAAAATATGAACAAGGCTGTTTCAACAGCCAATCACAGCAAACTTAAATGTGGACAAATATGATTCGCAGATAGATGGCTCTACTTTCCGAGAAATATCGAAAACAACCAATCATAAGACTGTGTTTGTCTGCTTAACTTCCGAGAAACAACCAATCAGAAGACTGCCTTTTTCTGCTTGCATAAACCTTATTAATGCACATAAAATATATATAAATACGTGTTGATTTCCGTAATAAAACGATCTGTTGCCAGCCCTTGTCTTCTGTTATTACACTAGTAATAACAAAACCTAAGATGGATGTTCTGCATATCATGATATATTTCAAAGTTAACCTGTTTGCAGGATAACTATATATATATATATATATATATCTTCCATAAAATTTAACTAAGTATCAAGTTTATCAGAGGAACACACAGGCAGATAAGACAATGCAGATCCTCATCTACCTGCACAGAGGTTCATGTTATTTCACAGTGATACATAGACCTTACAATAGCCTAGAAAGAAGGAAGAAAGTGAGCAATATTGAAATATACTGTTATAATGTGTCATATCGAAACGAATAAATGAAGCCTTTCCGATATTTGAACTACCATGAAGTTACCACTTGGGTGTTCTTTTAGTTAGGATAGAAAATAGCTGACATCTATGTTACTTTCACTTAGTTCATTTACTAGACTTTTTATAGTAATCCGTTTTTCTTTTAGAGTCTTTAGACAACTTTTCATTCTGATTTAACTGTATTCTGAAATGTCATTAACAAAAGATGAATGATACCATCAAGCGGAAGAAGTTGTAGAATACGAATGATGTACATAAGAAGGAGATGATCTGTGAATTTTGGATTGAATTATTTCATTCATTGTGATTCACATCGATTTTGTATGCTATTAACTCTTTAAGCAATGATTCATAACATTATTACTAAAAACATAGAATTTGGATTTTCAACCAAATGATGTGTGTAACCAGTTAATACTATGTCCTCATACAGGAAGTCTGACTTACTGTTGACTGTGTAAACTTGCAGACGGTTACCGAGTTGAAACTTGCTATTATGATATATATATATCAGTGATACATTTATTGCAATGTTGGTATTCTTCTGTGTATAACATATTTCTTTTGTTTTTATCTCTGCTGCCAATGCTGATGTACCTGATCGGATGTATATGTGAAAACAGTCGAAATTCGCAATTTCAAAATGCTTCTGTTCTTCTATCCGGTATCGCTGATTTATTTCGTAATTTCAAATACTGCTGGTAAGTTGGTAGTGTTTTTTTAGAGGTTTACAAATTATCAAGTATTGGTTTTGTAGGGATTTAGTTTCATTGGATGGAGGATTTCATCATGAGCTGACATCAGTTTGAGAACCACTGGAAAACCCGGGACTGGCTCCTCATCAGTACGCACCCACCGGGGTTCGAACCCAGGACCTTCTGGTTACAAGGCCAGTGAGCTCGTAGAACATTGAGTTACTGGGACCCGATCCAATGGCCAGTGGATCAATTCTAACTTCTGCCAATTCACGACATAGCGCGACTATTTCGCAATGCCATCGTCGATGAGTTACTGCCTCATCTTCAACTCGCTGTACCATACTGGTCACGGCTTCCCACCAGAACCCCAGATCACTGCCTGAATAGGGCCAGTCGCTAGTGAGCATAAGATTAATTTTCAGGTATTAGTTTTGTAGGGATTTAGTCGGATTGGATGAAGGATTATAAATTGGTATGAAGAAATCTCCATTCTCAATATCTACATGAAATGAGAAATTTTCTTTCATTATTACCACATGCAATTGACACTGTGTTTATAGCCGCTTTGCATGTTACACTGTTCATCATAAATTTCAACGTATCTAGAATATCGTTAGAATTAGAATAAAGTCATCGGCTGACAGCACAAAACATGCTGTTAAGTCATTCAAACATAAACGATTATGAATAAGCGAAAACTGGACACATTCTGATAAATTTGAATAATCTAATAAAGTATTTTGTACTACCAGTAAATGAATTTCAATTGTTTGTAGTATTCAGAGTCTGTGAAGCACATAATGAAATATCAAAACTCAACAATAAAAAAGTGTGTTCACCTATCCTCAACTCATACTAATTTAGAAAGCAAAAGGATTGAGCGAAGAAATTTTTACTTTTCAATTAGATCCTCATCTCTGGCTCTACTCTAATTAATACACATAGAGCTCTTTTAATACAATACACAACAATATTTTTACTAATCTAGTGGCGATATGTTTATTAACAATAATTAGTCAGTGTCAACATGTCAATGGGGTGATAATTAACGAAGAAAGTTAATACACACGATTAAAAGGTGGAAATGGTTGCAACACGTGGATTGCATAATGCATAGTTTTGACAAATGAAGAGTAGTTAAGGCATAAGCGTGTGCACAGGTTGATTACGTAACCGATTGTTAAAGAAAAACAAAACGATCTGGACAATGATAACGTGTAATTAAAGATGAAGTAGTCAGAGAAATAATAAAATAATTTGGATAATTATAATTTTTAAAGATTTAAGGGGGAGGGGGGAGAAGTAGTCCGGTTCATACATTCATGTTACGATGACCAAGGTTAGGAAAGTGGCTGTACAGATTTCTTCTTAACACACAGGTTTGGCTTCTACAGGTGGATACCTATTGCTTCAGCTGTCTGTAAGGCAAAATTAAGATTAGAAGAGATTTGTACAGCCACTTTCCCCTCCCTCTTAAACCTTTAAAACCAATCACTTCATCTTTAATTACACGTTATCATTGTCCAGATCGTTTTGTTTTTCTTTAACAATCGGTTACGTAATCAACCTGTGCACACGCTTATGCCTTAACTACTCTTCATTTGTCAAAACTATGCATTATGCAATCCACGTGTTGCAACCATTTCCACCTTTTAATCGTGTGTATTAACTTTCTTCGTTAATTATCACCCCATTGACATGTTGACACTGACTAATTATTGTTAATAAACATATCGCCACTAGATTAGTAAAAATATTGTTGTGTATTGTATTAAAAGAGCTCTATGTGTATTAATTAGAGTAGAGCCAGAGATGAGGATCTAATTGAAAAGTAAAAATTTCTTCGCTCAATCCTTTTGCTTTCTAAATTAGTATGAGTTGAGGATAGGTGAACACACTTTTTTATTGTTGAGTTTTGATATTTCATTATGTGCTTCACAGACTCTGAATACTACAAACAATTGAAATTCATTTACTGGTAGTACAAAATACTTTATTAGATTATTCAAATTTATCAGAATGTGTCCAGTTTTCGCTTATTCATAATCGTTTATGTTTGAATGACTTAACAGCATGTTTTGTGCTGTCAGCCGATGACTTTATTCTAATTCTAACGATATTCTAGATACGTTGAAATTTATGATGAACAGTGTAACATGCAAAGCGGCTATAAACACAGTGTCAATTGCATGTGGTAATAATGAAAGAAAATTTCTCATTTCATGTAGATATTGAGAATCAAGTTATGAAATGATGTTGAATACCTAGAGCTCAGGATTTGTATAATAAGGTAGAGATATTTTGCTACCTGATATTATTAAGTGCAGAACTTTCTCTATGAATAGGAAAACTGCCAAGTGATTGTCGAGTTGTCTTATGTAGAGTTGTTTACGAGGGGATTTGAACCACTTTTGAAATCAGTCATGTATATATTTATGCTGAACACCTTGATCTGCAAGCTACGAATGTTTGGCATGCGATACGCTCCCGCCAAATGTAAGATGATCAGGCTATAGGACTGGACTATGCTGACTCCTAGTTTAGAAATAGGGACTGAAGTGGTAGAACATGTTGACCGCTTCACTTATTTGGGAAGTACCATCAGCCAATGCCAGCGGGTGATCGCTGACGAAATCTCAGCACGGATACAAAGGGCTAGTTTCATATATGCCATTTTATACTGTCTCTGGCTTAGTAGACGTGATATCTGGCTGGCTGGTGTTCGACCAAAGGGCGGGTGTACTGCTCATCAGTCCGCTCCGTCCTCCTTTATGGCCATCTGTGAGACCTGGCCATTGAGAGTGGAAGACATGAAAAGACTGGCTAGCTGTCTTTGATCATAGGTGCCTGCGTCCCATCTCCCGTGTGAAGTGGCATAATAATAAGGTGAGCAATATTGAGGTTAGGCATCGGTCGAGTTCTAGGTGAGGAGGGGAAATCAATCGACGAGGCTGTGAAATTACATCGACTGAGATGGTTAGGACATGTGTTACGTAAGCCTAGTCATCGCCTTCCTCGATGGACAATGTTAACTGATATAGAGTCAGACTGGAAAAGAGCTGGAAGTGCTCAAACCAAAACATGGCTTCATCAGTCAATGAAATCCACAACAGTTAGCTTAAGCCGGCCACATAGGAAGGTGTAGACTAGCTGTCTGGTTGGAGTCCTCGGAACGGTAAAAACCAATGGTTGGAAACAATTGGTGATATGGCTGACTCAAAATCGTTCTCAGTGGCTGGCGCAAATGCATCCACTCCTTGTGACTTATGATTTCCAATGAAACTGTTTTGTTCTTCATTATTACTATTCCTTTGTCTCATACCTCTGTTTACTGTCTCTATTGTGCATTTCTTCTACTTTCTTGTCTTGCTTTGTGTGCTACAAGGAGGGAGTGTGGCGACTTGAACTGGGGCACATATGTGCAAAGTTCTATGTCGAAAACAGACAAACAGACAGATATATTTATATGTAGAGGAGATATCAGTTCGTCGTATTGTGTTTAATTCTCAGGACTATATTTACGCTAGTTCATTCTCATGGATCTACATAGTTTAAATCTTTAATGTCTGATAAATTGCATCAAAATGAATAAGCATTGATTTTGCTTTGCATAGATGCCTGCTCTGTCTATACTCTTTTTGCTCACGATAAAGACAAATGAATCTTCTAAACAGACAATTCGATAAGAACAGACAGTTAGGGTGGTTGATCGATAGACGGGGATAGCTAACAGTAAAGAGGATGAAAATACAAATGAAGCAAATAAAGAGCACAAAAAATGTAAAATTAGTGTATAAATTTATTTCTCCTTTTGAATTTATCCACCATTGATCCTAGTCATACTTTTGCATATACAAACAAATTTCCTATGTATTTTTGTATCTTATAATTGTAATATTTTCTTGTGATGCAATTATTATCTTTTAGACATTGATATCTCACTTATTCGATTCTATTTTTTCTAAATCTTTTTCGATATAGAAAATGAAACGTGAATTAATTATCAGCTGACTTGAAACGTACTACTTTGTTTTGATCTTATTGTTTTCGATTACTAAACCCGGTGGGTATGTACTGATGTAGAGTCCCAAACTAGGACGAAACAGTTGTCCAGTACTCCCAGGTTTTCCAATGGTTCTCTAACCAATGTCAGCTCATGATGAAATCCTGTAACCGACCAATACTTGAAAACTAAAATATCTCAGTGAATAGTTAGAGGTTTTCTTCTGTATTTCTTGTGAAACCCCAGTGATTGAAGATTGCTCAAGTTTACGTGTATCTGTGATCATTAAAATTCAGTCTCTGGGATGCTCTTTCGAAAGCTGTCAACAGTAGGGAATTGTAATCTTTTCGACACAATGCTTTATCTGGCTGGAGGTGCTAGTTGGCATCGCTCATCAACAGAGTCAAATACCTTACTATCCAACTTTCCAGTCAGAGCATATAAATGCACAGTAATGGTTATTAGGTATTCAGCTAGTAAGAGTGTAAATGCCACTACGATTGCTGTATAGTATATTACATTTAGTGGCTCAGTGTTTACGTATCAAGACACTGAATCATTCCTAGTAGCCTTCGTACAGTGTATACGAATACGGACTTTATGAGTAGAATTGTAGAGATACCAGCTAGTTACACTTGGGAATCTAACACCATGTTTTTACATTTTGTTTATCTCTACTCGTATTCCTGTGTACCTTCACTATATTCCTCTTCTCTTCTCTATCCACGAATGTTTTGTTTTTCTTCGCTTTCGTCAACTGTCTGTTTCAGTGTTGTTTTGATGTTTGGCTACTTATATTAAGAGATTTTTGTATAAAACTCTCGAGGTATCAACGTTTGGTAATTGAAAATAATATAAAAGAGAATTAGTGATAATATTTTTAAAAAAATATTATTATTTGCTATAATTCTTTATTTGTATTCCCCTTCTCCGACCGTGGATATTTTCCTTTAGTTTTGTCAACTGTCTGTTTCAGAATTGTTTTGAAGTCTGGCAACTT